CCTGGGTTCTTTTCTTCCTTTCTATCTGTTTTTCTCTTCTTTTCTTTCTTCCTTCTTTTCTTTCTTTCCTTCCTTCCTTTCTTTTTCTTTCTTTCTTTTTTTTTTTTTCCCCCTGAGACAGGGTTTCTCTGTGCAGTCTTGACTGTCCTGGAACTCACTCTGTAGACCAGGCTGGCCTCGAACTCACAGAGGTCCATCTGCCTCTGCCTCCCAAATGCTTCCCAATGCCTGGTCTGACCTGGGATCTTAATGACACTGGCATCCACTTACTGCATTATGTGTAAGGTGATTACTCTGTGTTCAGTCCCTACAAACGATTTAAGGTGCCCGACTCCTTGCCCCATGTCCCCGAAAAGCCCCAGGCTCAGAGAGGTGCACTCTGCTCTGTGTACCTGATGTCACGCAGGAAGGAAGTAGTGAGGACTCTGCTTAAAGTCTGAGCTGCACTGCCTCCCTGCGACATGTGTCACCTACTACCTAACACTGACATCAGGGTTTGCCCTGGACTTTGGTTCTTTGAGCTGTCATCCCTGCCTGCCACCTCTCCTGGCCCCAACAGTTGGCTGTTGAGGTACTCCCAGTGCAGGGACATACAATAACATGCCAAAGGCAGCAGTGTATTCTGGAATACCCTGTACTTTTTAGCTCTGTGACGTCACCTCTTTCATAACTGCCTCAAACAAACATCACCCTTTTCTCACTGTCCTCCCTACATTTGTTTGTGCAAACCCCGAGCTTCTCTCCATCTCCCTTTCCCAATAGCCCACATGTCTCCAAGTGTCATCCTCAGAAAGGAGGTCATTCAGAGGGCTTGGGGTTCTTAACTGAGGGTGTCCCTTTTGGTCCATGCCTTTTCAGCAGGGAAGCTGAGGCTGCCAGGGTCTGGATTTCCCCAAGGCTGGTTCTGCTCCGACAGAACTATCTTCTCCTGATGAAGGCTCCTGGTTACTCCCAAGGCCCTGTCTGCTTCAGGACCATGGAAGCCTAGGCATCCAAAGCAACTGTGCACAGCTCAAGGGGTGACTTTGTCATTACCTTCTTTCCGGAGCCTTGATAGTTTCCTATCACCATCGGATCAAGTCTCCAAAGCAGATTGGCTTCGGTGGACTGTCCACATGGACCACAGGAGCATCATGGTTCACAGTCTTAGTCATGGAGGCTGTGGGTCTGGAATGCTTCCACACTTTGCATTTTTGGACTGTCACATGAAGCCAGTGTTGTGGTTCACTGAGTAGCAAAGTAAGGGCCTGGTTTACTAATGCAAATGCCATGTACATCTTCTATTCTTCCCCTTCTTTCAGACCATGTAAATCACAGGTGCCTCCTCCAGGAATTTTTATATGAGTAGTTTAGTTGTTACCTTCACCATTAAATTGTAAGCATTATACTGCCAGATGTCCACTATGTATCATGCACCAAGCATCGAATCATCATGGCCCGTCCTTTATGCTATAGCAGGTTCAGATGTGACTCCCTTGTCCAACCAGTACATGATTACAATTAATCGTCTGTCCATGCCGTCATCATGGACTCACACGAGGAAAGTTTTGTTCATGTTATTTTCTGAATTGGGTGCTGGGGGAACAAAGATAGGCCACCTGGGTCTCTAATGACCTAGAACTTACGTACACACTAAAACAAACTTGAGTATTTGCACACTTCTCCTAGCTCCTGCTCACTGATCACAGTTTTGTGCCTTGAATCCCAACCCCTTGTCCACACGTTGCTCCCCCATCTAGGAATGTTGCCTGCCCTACTGGGCTTAGAGCCTTTATCTGGTGGCACAGAGCCTTGAGCACCCATCATTAAAAACAAACAAGCAAACCCTGGTTGGCCTGTAACTTACTATGTAACCCAGGCTGACCTGAACTACTTATTCTCTTACCTCGACCTCCTGAGTGCTGGGATTACAGACCTGGGCCACCATACTGGGCTCATGAGAACCTTTCTCCTATATGCTAGAATCCTTCAGAGGTAGATATGAGTGTGTAGATTAATAAGCAGGATGCTTGTTCTGGGGTACATTGGTGTCAACGATTGTGAATCTCAAGGAAGGAATCAAGATCGGATGGAGATGTCAAGGTGTAACAGTGATAGAACCAAGCCCAGGCCCAGAGCTGTGCACAGACCAGACTAGAATACCCCTTGACAACTGTCTTGAATTGTGATGGGAGTTGGTCAGTGACTATGTCGCCTTGCCTAGAAGGATACTTGAGTTTGACCAAGGTCACTATATTCAGCTAAGGCTGTCTCCAAAGAAGCTGACAGCTGAGTGTCAACTAGTTGTACTCAGTAACTTCTTTTAATGATGGATGGATGGATGGTGCCTAGCACATTATAAGCCCCTAGAATTTGGGGAAATGGACTCATCTAATCTTTATGGAAACAGTGTGTGTAATTCATTCACCAAGTGCTTACTATTTGGACAATGATATACTGAGCGCCTCATACATCCTCATCGTGGCTACAACTAGGAGTTTATAATCTAGGATTTTGAGGTGGATGGTGGTTCAACACTGGCTTCCTGGAAAAGTCAGCCTTTAGTCCAGAGATGTGACTTCCTGGAGGATGTGCTTTTTGCCAACACTGGACTCAGTGTTTGCTTGGCTTTCTAGAGGACAATTTCTTGAGATGAGGTGTAAATGAGTATGTGAGGTCTCTCAGGGGGTGGGAATCTCCATCACAGTCCACCTGATGGTGCACCTGTGCACCATGGGAAACTCCCTGCTAAACTTACATTAACTGTTGTTTGAATTCCCAGTAGCCTGGAACTTCCCCAGGCGTCCCATTGGCTCTGTGACTTTTCATCACTTGAGTAATTGGAGGATGGAGCAGAATGGAAATAATCTACACACATTTCTTCTGTGAGTCACCAAAAACTACAGCCCAGGGTGTGTGCAACTGCTTGACTTACTTTTCCTGTATGTAAATGAGCTGTCATTACAGTTCAGTAGGTCTCTACCTACTGAATATGATTATTCTACACAGTGAATATGAGATCATTGACGTTTACATCTGAAAGAGACACAGAGATAACCTGGTCCACCTGCCTTCCTTTGCAAGAGCCCTGGTGGGGAGTGCTTGGAGAGGTGCAGGACCTGTGTGATTCTTTGGGAAGTGTTTGTGGGTACATTCTGCCCCATTTTCCAGCTCTTGTCTTTGCCCAGACGTAGCAGGAAGTAGCTGATGTCTAGTGCAGGGTGGGTTGTTTTTATCTACACAAGTCACCCAGGTGATCGGAAAAGCTTTACGGAAAGCAATGGCTTTGATGTTCTGGGTGACAAGCCCTAAGTGTGCTCACAGGAAGGGAGGTTTTGAGGTTGGAGAAATGAAACTACTTTGGGTGGTGACTTCATCATTTAACACCCTTATGGTAGGAAGGTGCTTATAAAGGAAAGGTAAATGCAAGTGTAGGTATGAAAAGGAAAGTCTGAGGTGGATGACTATGAAATTACATGGTTCTAATGGCTCAGGAAAATCTTCCGGCACCATAGACCTTCCAGAAGCCTTCTTCCTCCCACACCTCAACCACATCCTTAGTTTCTTAGTGAGAAACTATCTTACAAGCATGTTTACACCTGTTATCTCCTCCATCCTTCACACATGATATTATGCTGACCCATGATGCCTGATCAGGGAGCTTGTCTTGGAAACCAGAGGTCTTGTATCAAAAATATCCTTCCTTCATAGGACCATGGTGATCCTCACTGACCCTTTTGGGGGTATCCTGTCTTTCAGATCCCAGTTTCTAGAAGCTACACCTTCCCGTGCCCCTCCTAGTCTCTCCTCTGTGGAAACCTGAGGTGCTGTTCCTGAGCCTTCTGAGCCTTGGCTTCTTGAGCTCTAAAGTGGAAATATAACAGTCCCTGCCATTCTCTTTAGGTTCCTTTGTGGAGTAAAGCACTGAAGAAAGCCTAAATTGAATTTCTTGAAGGCGACTTTCCTTGATGGCTTTTCCAACTGTGCTGAGGTGTCAGAGACATATGAACTCACCTCTCAGTGATCGAATTGTTAACACCCTTAGGTATTATCAAGGATACTAGTTTTGTCCTTTGGAACCAGGTGTGTCCCCCTTGTGGCCTATAGGCCATCTGAGTCTCAGGATAACTGTTAATGTGGTCCATCACTTTTGTAGATGACAGCATCCTATTGCAATATCAAAGAGTTGGACAGCTCTGTAAAATTTAGACCACCTGTCTTCTGAAAACAGGAAGATGTGCAATGATTGACAGCTGTGGACCAGGAAAGAAGCCCAATGCTGTATGGGATTGATCACTGCTTCATGCTCAATGCTGGTTCACACAGTAATGTATTAATTTCCTTTTTCTCTTTTGTATTTAAAACAAAGCAAACATCTTGGTCCATTTTCTTTTTCAAGTCCTTTTTCAGTAAGTATCTAAGTCTCAGAATACTTGAGGTTTAGTAATTTCTCAGGGAAAGATGTTTGTTTAGGCTTGTGTTTCTGGGCTTTGGGAAGTCCATGGTTGAGCAATCGTATCTGCCTTATAATAGCGGAGAAGTTGGAAGGTGAAGCAGGTGCATTTGGAAGATAGGGGAGTAGGGTTAGCCTTGCTTCTAACAACTGAGCACCAGGATAGCCAACACTCACTTACCTTTGTGAGAATTAACCTCCTTCTCTAAGAAATCTGCTTATTAGACAGAAGAAAGAAATGAGTGACAGCAATTAGATGCTGAGAATAATAAAGTTCTTATCAAACCGCTACTGAGAGCCAGGCATTGTGTTATTCTGCATGTTACTCTGCATCCAAGAAGGTAACTGCTGGCGCTCTCTCTCTCTCTCTCTCTCTCTCCCCCCCACTCACTCACAAAGTAGGACTGGAGAAGCTCTGATTTTGAACCTGGCAGCCAATGTCCTGTGATTGTAACTGTTGCTTTCGTGTTCAGCTCCGCTGGATTTCAGAGATTCAGCAAGGATGGGAGCCAGCATTGGCCAACTCTCCTGGAACCATCCATCAGTATCTGTATTTGATCTTTTTCAGGACCTTTTTTGGGGAGAGCAAATACATTCCAATATTATGCCTGTGCTCAGGAACTTCTCGGGTGAGTGTCTAGTTATTAGCTTCCCTCAGCTGCTACAGGTGCCCCAGTGTATCACGCTGCTCTGTTTGCAGTGGTTGACGGTGTTTGGATGGATTCCTGGTCAGAAATCCACCCACGGTCACTGATTTTCTAACTGGCTCACTATCTCCTGCCAAGTGTGTAAGATCTGCTACCCATGGCTAGCGGGTGCTAGCAAGCATCTGTGCAGCCAGTTGGCCTCACAAGCTAAACACACAGCCAGCTGCCCCAGATGATGAAGCCTAATTGCTGAGAGTAGAATTGGTGCCTCTGATGTGATGGGTTGTGTCCATGTCTCTATCCTGGACCATGGACTCCTGCCTTACCCAGGTGCTACCCATCTTTGTTCAAGTTGCTTAGCCCTCGTGTACCTCCCCTTTTGTTACAAAGAAGACTGCTTGGTAATCTTTGGGCTTAGGAGGAGGAAAGGATGAGGGACCTGGCACATACTGAGAATTCTGCTGCAGATCCCAGAGCAGACGGGCTAAAGAGTAGGCACCCGGTCAGCCCTCTGCCTCTTAACTCTTGAGGGTCTTTGGTGGCCTGGATCTGCCTGTCACAGACACTGAGTTTTCTTTCTGCCTATTCACAGAAAGTACAACACAGACTTTGGGTCCCAGCAGTTGACCTTTTACAATGCCAAAAGGACTTTAGCAGACCCATGGCTTACTTAGCCATGTCAGATGTCAGGGAGCAAGCTAATGTCCTATTTTTGGGGACAGTGTTGGTAGGTATATGATGAGAAAGTGAGCAACAGTGCCTGCTGCATGCTGGCCCTCTCCCCACCCTCCTTCTTTTGGGTTGCCTGGGGATTTCTCAACAGGTCCCCTTAAAGTGGACAAAGGAGTCCTGTCACCCTGTGTGCATATTCTTCTCCTTAGCTCATCTCTGTAGGAGTGTGTGACTCTGTAAATTCTGTATATTAAGGGGGGATTGAGACTTTTCTATTCTGTATCCTGAGGCTCTGAGCCCCCAGGACCCCACGCTTTCCCTCACACTCTGCATGAAGCTCCTGGGAGAAACTTAGAAATTTTTAGTTCCTTAATTTTTACAGATCATTGCTCCTTGTGTGTGCTTAAAAAAACATTGATTAGAAACACTCATCAGTTTGACTGCCTTGGGAAGAGGTCCTTGCTTTTTTCAGCAGGAGCTAGTATACTATGTTATTTTTGTGTCCTTCTCCCTCCCCTATTACCAAGGAGACAGAGAGCCAACTTCCAAACCCACAACTCAGCCATACCTGTTTATTGTTCGGTGTTGAATGGCCTCCTTCAACGTTGCCCCATTTGATCCTGCCATCGCATATTGCTGTTACCCACCCCCGTCTCACTGACGAGCAAACGAGGCCTGTGTGTTCCTTTCAGCCACACACTGATTCTCCTCTGGGTGACTGTTTGTGCCATAAGAAGGGGGAAGACCTTTGGTGTTTTCATCCTGTTAGAGGTCGACTAAGAAATGAAGTCTCAAATGTGTGCGTAGGAAGCATCACTAATACCAGACATGTCTAAGTGCTTTGAATTCAGCTAAGACTCTCATTTTACACCAAGAGCACTCCTTGGAAACGAGACAGAGAGGCTCAGGGCGCTGAAGTTCTTGCTGAGGTTCCTGAGAAGGACTTGCAAAGCGGTAGTGGTAGGCTGTCCCCAGCATGGTCTGATAAGAGCCCACCGACATCCAGGAAGCTGGGCTCCTGGCCTTTTAGGGTCACAAAGTGATTGCAGTGTGACTATAAGGCTAAAAGTACTTTCCCCGGTATAAATGCCCGTGATGCGTGGGTGGCTGCTTGCTGAGTGCAGAGGTGCTGGGGACAAGAGGGCATCTTTCTGAGTCCACCCCTAGTCAGCTGGACTTTCTGGGGAGGGGAATCCACCTCTGTCTGCTGGGAACTGAACTCTGAGCACTGGCTGAATTAAACCACCCCTGTTAGGAAGGTGGGAACTCACTCAGCCTTGTAGGGTTGTGGTACTAGCACACTCAAGGGAAGAATGTGACACCCAGAGGGCCTCAGAGGAGCAAATTACGGGTAAGATGTCTCTGGAAGAGAGAGGGGGAATTCATCAGGAGGAATACAAGGTACAAACGGTGCCCTCTGCTCCCAGCTCTGCAGCAAGGACAGTTGGCCAGCGGCTCCGAGGCTAAGGGCCAATTCCCCATGGAACTTTCCAGTGTCTTTTATGCTGAGTCAGTGCCTACCAAGTCCTATGTCATTAGAGTCCTGACTGCCAATGTCCTGAGAGGTTTGCAGGAAGGGGAGAGTTACAGGGAAGGGGTCGGTCCCCCATAGCACATGGAATTGTGTAATGTTACTTTCTCTGGGTACCACACTGCAGTGTGACTACCCCCTGGAAGGGCAGGAAAAGGCATGTCTGAGTCCACCAGGACAGACACCAGGGCCTGCTTGGAGCTTTGCAGGTAGCTAGTAAAGTTCTCCCTTGGCTCATAGGTCCTAACCCTTCCATGTCTTGTTCTCCACACCACGCTCTCTCTCCTGGCCACCTCCTGTAAGCTGTTTCAATGATCAATGAGTATAAGATTCTCTGTAGAGTGTAGGCAGAATTTTCCTGTCCTGGCAGCCGTTTCCCAAATAACCAACACTGGGACTTAATTAAATGCTTGGCCAACACTCAGGCTTGTTACTAGCTCACTCTTACATTTAAATTAATCCATACTTCTTATCTACCATGTGGCTCGGTACTTTTTCTCAGTACTGCATGCTCATCTCAATTCTCCCTGCATCTGTCTGCTGGTGACTCCTTTGACTCTGCCCCTCTTCATCCCAGCATTCTCTCTATCTCAGGCTGTCTTGGCCAACCTCTTCCTGCCCAGCTATCAGCCAATCAGCTTTTTATTAACAATGAGAGCAATACATATTTATGTGTGCAGAAGGATTACCCCACAGCAGTAGAGGCTAATTTTTTTTGTTGTTGTTTCCTGCATAATTCAGGAGGCCTACAAATCCCATGATGCTCGATGAGTGCTTTGCTAACACTTGGAGTGAGTTCAAGTTCATCTGATGCAGCTTCTATGGCCCACACCACTCCATTGTGTACATAATGGGCTGGGCACTGGACACAAGGCCGTTATCAGAATGAATGAATAAATGTTTCTTATTTCTCAGTGCCTAGAATTCTTGCAGTCAGATGAATGAAAATGCCAGTAGGGAGGGGAACATGATTGAAATGGCAATCAGTAAGACCAACCATCAGCTGTGGCCTTGTTGCCTATGTGACTTAGGAGCACAAAGAGATCAAAACGGGGAAAAAAAAAGCCTACCACAGGCTTGGCACCTAAGAATTGTTCACTGATGATGACATTGTTTTCTAAGGGGGTTCTACAAAGTGGCTCAGTGGGTAAAGACACCTGCTGCTAAGCCTAATAGCCTGAATTTGAGCCCCAGAACCTACATAGTGGAAAGAGAGAACTGACTCCGTCATGGGGTCTTCTGATTTCCACACATGTATGCCCACACTTACATATGCTCAGAAAAAAAAAAAAAATGGTCAGTAAAATGCCTTTTTTTTTCTCTGCTTCTCATTTTCTTATTTTTTCAGACTTAATCTTGCTATGTGGCACTGGCTGGACACAATATATGGCCCAGGCTAGCTTTGAACTCAAAGAAGTCCTTCTAACTTTGTCTCCTGAGAGTAGGATTATAGGCTCTTTCTATCATAGCTGGCCTAGCTTTTCCTTTCCTTTCTTTCTTTACTTACAATCAACCTATTGTTAGTGTGTGTGTGTGTGTGTGTGTGTGTGTGTGTGTGTGTGTGTGTGTGTATTGCTATTTATGTGGGCATAGGCACAGAGGTCAGAGGATGACTCAGAGTTAGCGTTCTCGTTTAGCCATGTGGGTTGTGTGATTGAACTCAAGTCGTCTGGCTTGGCAACAAGTGACTTCACCACTGAGCCAGTTTACCAGCTCTTAGTTTTTATTTTTATTTTTTTTAAATGAATGAAACATTTCCTCCCCAAATCTGCTCAACATTGACACTAATACATCTCTTTCCTCTTCTTGCATATTCTAGTATACCTGTTAAGCATTCCAGAAGGATTTGAGAATCATCAAATAAAGCTGGAGTATTTGGCGATTTGGAAAATTGAGGTGCGTGAGGGATGGTCTCTTTCTGAGCCTCATGGAAACAAAATTAAATTTTTGGAATGGACAGTCTCTGTCACTGGATTTCGGGTATATTTTAGTGTTCTTTACGGGTCTTTCTGTGGCAATTCAAAGCACTTGGGAGACTGACTTCCCATTCATCCATATCCTGGCTCTCTTTCTCAGCATTTCTTCCATTTACTTGACCATAGTGCCTAGCACGTGCTCCCTGCTCCTACCAGGAGAACCCATTGTCTCATAGGAGAATCAGTGTTGATTTGCTGTGGATGACTGCCTGAGAGAGGACCAGAAAGTGGAAAAGGGTCCTGTAGTGAGGTTAGAACACATTTGAGACACCCCAGACTGTGAAATCTTTCATTCTGCCTAGCACATTCTGTGTTTTTTCCCCTACCTCCATCATGTGTTGGAGTCACACTAAGTCCGTGGCTGCCCTGGTGAGGGGAAGACGTAAAGCTTTCTGCAAACCTACGTTTTCCGTTCTACTTGTCTGTGCTCCATGGAGTCTTGCTGAGCCTAGAGTGTTATCTGGTAGAACTGTGTGTCACATGAGTTTCCTCCAACTCAGGTGCTGTGGACGTTCAATGAAAAGGAAGAGGGACCAAGCTTAGTGAGCCATACGATATGCCAGAGGAAATGCCTCCGAAACAAAAGAGGGATTTTTCTTGATTAATGACTTACAATTTATCAATGACAGCAGGTAGGGTGTGCTGCGGGATGTCTTTCTGTATGCTGTGAATATGTGTTGCTCTGATTGGCTGATAAATAAAGCTGCATTGGCCTATGGCAGGGCAGGATAGAGCCAGGTGGGAAAATCCAAGAGAGATAGGGGGAGGAGAAAGGAGACTCTGCAAGCTGCCAGCAGGAGAAGCAAGATGTGAAAATACCGGTAAACCACAGACATGAGGCAACTTATAGATTAATAGAAATGGGTTAATTTAAGATATAAGAGCTAGCTAGAAAGAAGCTTGAGCCTAGGCCATCTAGTTCATAATTGATGTAAGCCTCTGTGTATTTACTTGGGTTTGAGCAGGTGCAGGACTGGGCGGGACGCAAGAAAACTTCCAGTGCCTCCTCTTTCAGCAGTGCACAGACTGGCTAGGGTTATCGTCTGTTCATAAAAAACAGGCAACGCTCCTTTTTTCCACTGCCATGGCAGCAAGCAGCAGCCCCTCAGCTCGCAGGTTCTCTAAGGTTAACTATTATGGCTCTTTTTTTTTTTTCAGAGCTGAGGACTGAACCCAGGGCCTTGTGCTTGCTAGGCAAGTGCTCTACCACTGAGCTAAATTCCCAATATGAAGTCTTTTTTTTTTTTTTTTTTTTTTTTTGGTTTTTTGAGACAGGGTTTCTCTGTGTAGCTTTGCACCTTTCCTGGAACTCACTCTGTAGCCCAGGCTGGCCTCAAACTCACAGAGATCTGCCTGGCTCTGCCTCCCGAATGCTGGGATTAAAGGCTTGCGCCACCACGGCCCTGTTATGGCTCTTGACCCATGCCTCTCCTCTTGTCTTCTTGTGGATGAGAACACTTCCCTTCTGTCTTAGTTAGAATTTCAATTGCTGTAACAAAACACCATGACCAAAAACCAAGTTGGGAAGGAAAGGGTTTATTTGGCTTACACTTCAGCATTGCTTCATCACTGAAGGAAGTCAGGACAGGAACTCAAACAGGACAGGGATCTGGAGGCAGGAGCTGATGCAGAGGCCATAGAAGGGTGCTGCTTACTCATTTACTTCCTGTGACTTGCTCAATCCACTTCTTATAGAACCACCAGGACCACCTGCCTGGGCACGGCACCACCCACCTTGGGCTGGGCCCTCCCCCATTGATCATTAAATGAGAAAATGCCTTACAGCTGGATCTCATGGAGGCCGTTCCTCAGCTGAGACTCCTTCCTCTGATGACTCTAGCTTGTGTCACGTTGATGCACAAGACCAGCCAGTACACCTTCCTACCCTAAGACACTCTCTAGATGCTGACTAGATGTAGTTATCTGGTCTTGTACTTTCTATCATCCATGAGCTAAAACAAATTCCTTTTTATTAATGAACTATTAGACCTAAATAAAGCGCTATGTGGAAAATAGACAAAAGACACGGACAACTTACTTGTTGGTCCTCTTCTTGCCTTTTTGCCACCTCTCCCGCACCAGCATCCCCACCCCACCCCACCCCCTCTCACTTCCCCACCCCCGCTTCTCTTCACTGTCTACTGTTGTTAACTCTTTGCCTGCTCTGCCCTTACTGGCCTCCTTTGGCTCTGGTGACAGGACATCCGTGGGCTTCTGCCATCCTGCCTGTAGACATGAGCCAACAGTACTCATTAGCCACATGGTACACGTGGAAAGGTTGTTTCCTTTATTCAGTGTTCGCAGAACTCCTGGCCCACTTGCACTCTACCCTTGACAGCAACGTCTTTTCAAGCCACCCCCAGTATCGGCCCATTTGTCTATTGCTATTTCTTGTGGTTTCATATTGAGGTTTTGGTGCATTGCATTTGACCTAGAGTGTATTTTTAGTACTAAAGGCAGAGTTCAATGAATGTCAAATCAGAAGGGCAAATGAAGAGGAGGGATTTGTACGTCTAGGGGGGAAAAACGTGCCTAATTTGATCTCTTGTGATGACGTCTGTCCCTGATGATGTCCAGTCACCTGCTTTCCTCAGTGATGCCCATCACTATAGATTCTGTAAAGGTGGGAGCAGCAGCTGGTCCTGCCCCAAAGACAGGAACATTTGTCAGTGACAGTCTAGCAGCTGGCCACACAGAGGAACATGCATCCCAGCTATAACTAAGACAGGAATTATAACCAAAGTTAAGGCCTGGCTGTGGGATTTGCAGGGCCTATTACTGTATCAGCAAGCTCTGGTCTGCCTTGAAGAAGCAGGCTCTTTGTCGTGGCCATCAACTCTTCTCCCGGGATGATACATATTTAGTGGAAGGTTCTAGATCTTCTCTCATTAACCTGGCCCTTTGGCATCAGCACAGGCTCAAAGGACATGCTTGGGGATGCTTGGGTTGCCTGAATTTCAGAATGCTGACTTTGGCCTTCAGTGTGAAGATTATACCAAAGTCTCCCCTTCCCAAACAAGGGCTACCCGGCCTGCTTTCAGAGGCAGAGCAAGCCTTGCCATCTGCTTAGGACTTCACAGTTCATAAAGTTTTTTTTTTCTCCCATCCTGTCTGCTTTCTTTTATTGCACAAGTCTTTACTTTTTATTGCTCTGTATTTACTGAGATGCCGCAGCATGCCACTGTGCAGGGTGCCTGCTGTACTGGAGGAAGAGCTGCTGTTCCCGTGCCTAGGGAATTCCCAAGAGCATGACTGGCATTTTCCTAATGAAGAGGATGGAGTCTGAGGGAGATTGCGTGGCCTGAGAGCAAGCTGCTAGCTGTGGCTTTCACATGAGAACACTGGGCTTCCAAATCCAGCCCTCAAACCTGCCAGGACCTACCTGATGCCCTGCCTGTCCCCTGCCCTCCTCTCCAGCTGTGTGTGACATCCCTCCCTGTCCCCTCACTTCTCCTGCCCTCCTTTTCTGCCTCCTCTTTCCCCCTTCTCCCAGGTTGGTTTCTTCTGAAGATGAACAGCTTTTTCTCTCCAAAGCGCTTTTGTGGGAAGGGATCCGTCATATAGATCCAGGCTTGGAACTTGTGTGATTTCCCTTGAGAGCACAGCCTCCACCTTTATTCTGTCCGTTAATACCTTTTTGCGATGCGGTAGGATGTTCCAGTTCCCTCCTGTCCTTCTCACCCTTCCTGTAATAAGTCCGGTGCTGTAGCAGGTTGAGGTGCTAACAATGGTTGAGCTGTTATCCCTATCATGAAAATATGCCAGGTGTATTAGTCAGGACTCTCTGGAGAAGCAGAACCAGTGGACAGTGAAGACAGACATGTATCTCTGTATCTATGTCTATATAGAGAAGGATTTGTTGTTCACAAAGCATTGACTCATGTCATGGAAGCTGTCAAGTTTTGATGGTCTGCTGTGTGTATCTGGAGACTAGGGAAGCTGGTGATATTTATGGAGGGACAGAGTTATAGATTGTCTGCACCCAGGCAAAGATAGAGTTCAGCTCACTCTACCTCCCTCCTTATTCAGCTTTCTAGTCACCGTTGAGTTCCGAGTTCACCTCAGTAGGCTGGATGATGCCCACGCACACTGGTGCAAGCCACTTATGGTACTCACTCTTATTCCCTCCTCGTCTGGAAACACCATCACCAACCCTTCTTAGAAATGCCCTTAGCCAGTTCTCTTAGTATCTCCTGGCCCAGCCAAATTGACACACTGGGTAGACACAATGTATCCAAGCATCTGGGTCAGCCGGCTGATATCCATCTCAGGCCACAGGCTGAGGACACTTAGACTGCTGTGGACACAAAGGCACCCCTTTGCAACCCAGGTTTCACAGGAAGGAGACCAAGTTGAATCATCATGAGCTAGTATTGTCCTTATCTATTGGGCTCTGTCCCTGCTTTGGGGTTTACCCAACACGGAATCCCTATTGAGTGATGCTATTTGCCTCGTCTTCACTTAGATGTCAGCCAGGTATTTAATGAGCATGGATATGTTCACAGCATTGCACTGTGGGGACCAGAGAAGGGGAGCTTTGACTCTAGTCGTACCCCCTTGTGACCCATGAGACACCTCACTTTCAATGTGTGTTCTCCATGTGATGGGAATTTACTTAGGGCTTTGGTCATTCCTTCAAATGTGTGTGTGTGTGTGTGTGTGTGTGTGTGTGTGTGTGTGTTGCATCCGTCACTTAGCCCCTTCTCTGGAGGCATACTAGACATCAGGAGTCCCACAGCACAGCACACACTGGATCCTCTAGTGAGTTGCTGTCCATGCCTCGGTATCGGGGCTGGTAGAGGCGTCTGTGGTACTAGTTAGTAACTGTTGATGGCGATGAAGACAATACTAGGGACATTGCTTGCTGTAATAGTACGACTAGCTCAGCTGTATTATTTTTGACGTCCCGATCACTTTATA